AATGACTCGAACAACTCGTGGAATGGAATGTCTGATGATTTCGGTTGTTGATCGTTCTGGCCAGTACAAATGTTGGGTTAGCAAAACAAACGAGCACTATCATAAACTGGGTTTGTTCTAGAATTTTAGGTTTAATATTGGGGAAATTATTTTAAGAAACGTTTCATCTTGATTAATTTTAACTTTAGCGGAACAAGAATGAACGTAAAATATGACTTTGCTAACAGTTTTCTTTATCGCAATTTCACTTTACACGGGATATTATGGTATCTTTCTTTCTAATGAATGTGTGGCACTGTGTTGAGCCTTACCTGACACCTGCCTTTTGTTGGGCTGTGGGGTGTTGAGCCTATTTTTCTCTCCGCCTACCCCACCAAAGGAGCCTGGCTCTGGGTCATGGTTTGAAGGTAACCTTTGGCGCAGTTTGACCCTTTTGGACCGTCCTGGCTTTCTCCTCTTTTGCTCAGCGCCGGAGATGCGTTTCCGTGGTTTAAATTGTTGTTGAGACTTGGTGACCTGTATCATAGGTTGAGGGGTACCCTGGGACGCTCCCTGTGGTTTGTTAAATTGATCGATCTCCACTCAAACGACACACGAACCAGTTGAGAAAAGCCAACGTCGATATACACCCCAACCGTCAGCTAGGGACCTTTGCAACCTCTACAAATTACTTCAGATTCGGAATCACCTGAAATCAACCACCACCACGAACAATTGGGGTCCCTGCTCCTGCCAGCCAATCCTGGATCTGACGTCATTCCTGATGCCGAAACTGAACCTTCAGAAATTGGACAATCTCCAACAGTGGAATCCGTCCGGCGATCTACTCGACCTCGCCGTCCTCCAGAACGTTTTAGATTTAGATTTTAGACATTTGACACAACTTTTACTTTTTTAATTTACAATAAATCTCATAATTTTGTGTGTGTGTGGGGGGGATTATTATGTTCTCAATTTATTTATTATTTTTTATTTTTATTTTTGCCTTTATTTTTAAGTGGGCGGGGTTTCAGCCGAGTTCTCAATTTAAAATGTAACTAAGTCGAAAAATCTAGCGCGCTGTTGCTGGGAAAAAAAAGGATTGTCAAATTATTTCGCTGTCCCTAAAAAAGGCAAGTGTGAAGTTTGCCCCGCCCATACATTTTTAATTAGATGAAACCACATGTGATTGTTAGTGCTAGGTTAGTGCTGTATTGTGCTCAAAAATTGCGATTCCAGCATTTCATCTTTCCAAGAAAAACGAAAAAAAACTAAAGCATTGCATGAAGTTGGCCCCGCCCATGACGCGTTTTTTTTAAAAAAATAATACGATCGTTAGTGCTACGTTAGTGCTCTTTTCTGCTCGAATATTGCAAGTGTAACATTTTACCTTTCCAAGAAAAACGAAAAAAAACTAAAGTATTGGGTGAAGTCGGCCCCACCCATGACTCGTTTTTTTAAAAAAACTAATACGATCGTTAGTGCTCTTTTGTGATCGAATATTGAGAGTCTAACGTTTTACCTTTCCAAGAAAAACGAAAAAAAACTAAAGTATTGGGTGAAGTTGGCCCCACCCATGACTCGTTTTTAAAAAAAACTAATACGATCGTTAGTGCTCTTTTGTGCTCGAATATTGCGAGTCTAACGCTTTACCTTTCCAAGAAAAACGAAAAAATCCAAAATATTGTGTGAAGTTGGCCCCACCCATGACTCGTTTTTAAAAAAAAAACTAATACGATCGTTAGTGCTACGTTAGTGCTCTTTTCTGCTCGAATATTGCAAGTGTAACATTTTACCTTTCCAAGAAAAACGAAAAAATCTAAAATATTGTGTGAAGTTGGCCCCACCCATGACTCGTTTTTAAAAAAAAACTAATACGATCGTTAGTGCTACGTTAGTGCTCTTTTCTGCTCGAATATTGCAAGTGTAACATTTTACCTTTCCAAGAAAAACGAAAAAAAAACTAAAGTATTGTGTGAAGTTGGTCCCACCCATGACTCGTTTTTAAAAAAAAAAACTAATACGATCGTTAGTGCTACGTTAGTGCTCTTTTCTGCTCGAATATTGCGAGTCTAACGCTTTACCTTTCCAAGAAAAACGAAAAAATCTAAAATATTGTGTGAAGTTGGCCCCACCCATGACTCGTTTTTAAAAAAAAACTAATACGATCGTTAGTGCTACGTTAGTGCTCTTTTCTGCTCGAATATTGCAAGTGTAACATTTTACCTTTCCAAGAAAAACGAAAAAAAAAACTAAAGTATTGTGTGAAGTTGGCCCCACCCATGACTCGTTTTTTAAAAAAACTAATACGATCGTTAGTGATCTTTTGTGATCGAATATTGAGAGTCTAACGTTTTACCTTTCCAAGAAAAACGAAAAAAAACTAAAGTATTGGGTGAAGTTGGCCCCACCCATGACTCGTTTTTAAAAAAAAACTAATACGATCGTTAGTGCTACGTTAGTGCTCTTTTGTGCTCGAATATTGCGAGTCTAACGCTTTACCTTTCCAAGAAAAACGAAAAAATCCAAAATATTGTGTGAAGTTGGCCCCACCCATGACTCGTTTTTAAAAAAAAACTAATACGATCATTAGTGCTACGTTAGTGCTCTTTTCTGCTCGAATATTGCAAGTGTAACATTTTACCTTTCCAAGAAAAACGAAAAAAAAAACTAAAGTATTGTGTGAAGTTGGCCCCACCCATGACTCGTTTTTTAAAAAAACTAATACGATCGTTAGTGATCTTTTGTGATCGAATATTGAGAGTCTAACGTTTTACCTTTCCAAGAAAAACGAAAAAAACCAAAATATTGTCTGAAGTTGGCCCCACCCATGCTACGTTAGTACTCGAATATTGAGAGTCTAACGTTTTACCTTTCCAAGAAAAATTAAAATATTATGTAAAGTTGACCCCACCCAAGTTGCCAACGGCAAGTATAGGGTAAGTCAACGTTTTCAGTGTCAGCTTGATAGACCGCTAGGAACATTACAATCTAATTAAAAATGTATGGGCGGGGCTAATTTAGGATACTGTTTGGATGGCATTTAATAGCACTAACGCCGTGTGCGTTCGTTTGTTTGGTAAATAAAAGTTTAGTGTGAAGTTGACTCTGCCCCGGTTTTTTTAAATTTTTCTCATATTATATAGCAGCACTAGCGATAATCTTCGAGCACATTTTTGTCAAATTATTTCATGTGGGCGGGGCCAACTTCACATGAGTTTGCTTTTCAATTAGGATATTAATTTTTGATATAAATAATTCTCTGTACTTTACTCGTTTCTGAGGAGGTCTGTAGTGTGTCCTCTCTACTTTGTTTGATGGTTCTTCCCAGGATTTACTGAATTAATAAGGCTAAAGGGTAAGTTTCACTGTTTCGTCCCGCCGCAATATTAATTTTGCTTAAGTCCGCAATTAGAGTTTCGATTTAAGACGCATATTCTGAAACTGATTTACCACCTTGTAGTATATATCTGTTTATGACCCATTAAAAATCACTTTATCACGCAAAAAAAATTGATTGTTTGAAAATTACTGGAAAATACACAAGCATACCTTTTAGAGCAGTAAAAAAAATTGCGAAAAACTTACACCTTAGATAGTTCTTGACTTCAGCTTCGATAGATTGTGTTCTACCCATTGAAATCGGCTGGTTGAATTGCAGTATTAGAAGGCAGGTTGACTTGTAGGATCAGAAGACAGAGTCGAATTGCAGCATCAGAAGGCCGGGTCGAAGTGCAGGATCGCCATGCGGTGCGCTTTTGGGTTTCACTAAAACTACACGCGCTTCTTGTTCAATTACTGAACCTCTTTTATGCACTGTCCCATTCTACTTATTTCTACGTCGTTTTAGAGCTGTTTTTTGGTTCTGCAACCTGTTTATACACGATTCCTTTGTCATTCAGGTATGGCTTATGGTATTAAAAAGAATGACTGTATGTAGCATGTCGATCAAAGTCATTTGACGTATGTGATTTGTGTAAATTTTGGAAAAAACATGTACGTAGTATTTTCTCTTCCAATAAACAGTTGTGGTTGGTTAAATAAGGTGGCAATCTTAAGTTCAACATTGCCTTATCCATTTTTATTGCTCTAAGTAGGTACGAAGGTAACGTTATCAAACTGTTACGTTTGGAGGTATGCAAACATGTTGGCTAAGTTTGAGATAACAGTGAAAAAACAGTATCCCAGTGTCATCCAATATGAAATCGTTCTTAGAAATCCTATTCGTGGTACTGCTCTTTTCTACGGCTCGTGCAGAAGGTAAGGATTCCAGTTGAAGTTATAATATTCTGGAAATCTTATTCTTATTCTTCTAGATCGCAGCCTACAAGGGAGAGATGTTGTTGCTGATGCAACTTCGTCGCTTTTAGACGTGATCATCAAATGCGTGTTGGAACAAATACCTCTTTTAACAAATTCAACTAGCAGTCCGGTTTTGCGGTTTTTGAGCTCTATGTATGGATGCGGAATTCCTGGAATAGAACCTTTAGCTAAGGTACGGGCGTGCGTATTGGAGGCGAACGCCAAATTGTTTTTGAATCCCCGTAGTACAGCACTAGTACTTGTCCTACCTGTTATGGCTATTAAAGAAACTATAACTTGTGTTAAGGCCTCATCTTCTGATGTGTGCACACCTTTCCGGAACGCGCTTGATTCAGAATCAGTAGAAGACGGACTACTAAGAAACCTCCTCAGATTTTGCCCACAATAAACCGCCTAAAATGTGTACTTCAGTGTCCGAACCGCCTTTATTATGTCAAAGAAATACAACTGGTAGCAAATAAATCTTAGTAATCCATATGTTTTTTTTGCCTTACTTGCCATATATGTGGGTAAGCACTAATTAAGGGAGTACTATATGAAATAAAATGAGGGATGCCAGGAGTTGTGTACGCAGCTATTGATTGAAGAGGAACTCGACAGTTTTTACGTGACCTGCCTTGTTTGGTGGCGCCACAGTGCATAATAGCCTCCTGCGTATACCGTTTGGATGCACTAACCTCCAATGGATCTTTCAGACACAAACTGGTCAAAACTGGTCACAGCTGACAAGATTAAGACGGACAATCCTGCTACAGCACCTCTGGCGTCTTCCACTCTTGCTGCTATACGCACCGATCCGCCGTCAGTTGTATCAAACCGACTTTCTCAACCACTGGACGAACGTTTATGCCGGTTTTCTGTGACGCAATTCCTTCATGAAGCGTTCTCGATCAGGGATCCGTTTGCTGGCTGTAGCCGTCACCGTTCTCGATCTTCAAATTCCAATGGGTCTGTTGGTATCACACGAGTTTGGGAAACTATTCAGCCAAGGGCACTCGTTTCAATCAAACTCCACAGCTGACTGTCCTACAGGAGGATGTCGCGTTTTCGTAATGGACCGTAAGTCAAAACAAAAGTTTTTGTTAGACTGGTTTAATTGATAGATTGCATAATTGTACAAACATTTTGCTTCAACTGTATCCAAACGCCCGATCAACAGTTGATTTTATTGAAATCTTTTTTCCCTTTTCAGATGAGGTCTGCAGTGTGTTCTCTCTACTTTGTTTGATGGCTTTTCCCAGGAGTGACTGAATTAATAAGGCTAAAGGGTAAGTTTCTAAACCCCATCGCCCCCACAGTAATAATATAAGGCAGATTCTAACTCAAACAGTCACAAGGTTTGAAACTGTGCTGCGTGGTTTCGAATTTTTGCTAATGCGGTTCTGAACTAGGGTTTGTCAAAGTTAATGATTATCGATTTGGGGGGGCATGAGTCATAGGTAATTCAATTGTTCGTCGGATTTCTCCAATGAGATATTGATTAATTATCGATTTCGGAGGGTATGAGTCATTCTTGACAGACCGCATTGTGGCCGATTCTAACTCAAAAAGTTACTAGGTTTCAAACTGTACTGCGTGGGTTCGAATTTTTGTTAGTACGGTTCTGGACTAGGGCTTGTGAAGCAGGGATCTTCATAGTGTAGGATCGAAATCACCCTAGGCTAAAATACCTAAGTTGCTTTCAGAGTTTGCGTAAAACGTGGACTATGATTATACAACCATACTAGCTCAATTCACATCCACACCAATGTAGTCACCTACTTGAAGGACAACCTGCACCATCACAACGTCCAAAAAAAGTTTTGTTAAGTTCGTGGTATGGGTTTGCGCGTCAACCAGCTTGCATCGGTAAATTGGATCCATATTTTTGAGGTCTTGAGTACCAATTCCTTCGGCTTTTTTTGGTGGCGGTGGTCCCGCATCCATGGCCGCCGACGACGACGACGAAGCGCAGGGTCTTTCGCTGCGAAAGCCTTCCTCTAATATGCCGACGCTGTTGAGTTCATTTTAAGGCTTTAAGTTTATTATCATTATGTTTTATTAACATTTTTTTCTCATTTCAGAAGAGCGCTGCAGTGGTCCTACTTTGGTTTATCGCTCTTCCCAGGAGAAACTGGATTAATAAGGCTAAAGGGTAATTTTCTAGCCCCGCCCCTCAATTTAAGGCGTTCCTTATATTTGCCCACCAAACAGATGTCGCACTAACGATTGTATGTCTGTGTGGTTTTTTAAAAACGAGTCATAAATGGGGTCAACTGCACACACTATTTTAGCATTTTTCGTTTTCTTTAGAAAGGCAATCGGTTGGAATTTTAGTAGCAGTGGAAGAATTTGTGATGATGTTTATCTGGCATTTAGCAGCACTAACATCGTCTGCGTTCATTATTTCGATAAGTAAAAATTGAGTGTGAAGTTGGCCCCGAACTTGTTTTCTTATTTTTCTCATGTTATGTAGCAGCACTAACGATAAGCTTCGAGCACTAACGTAGCACCAACTGTGGACACATTTTTGTCAACTTATTTTATGTGGGCGGGGCCAACTTCACATGGTTCCAATTTGGCTCGCCCGTATGTATCACTGCAGATGAATTGTCAGTTTGAATCTGTTTTGTTTAGAACCCTGAATTATATTTTGGGTGTAGAAGGATCGTGCCATTCCTGTTCCAATGATATGGTTGAACGTTTGCATTGCACCGTTTGGAATTCGCATTTCCTTGGGAGGATTTAGGGCAGGCTATAAGAACATTCTGGAAATGTAAAGAATACACTCTGGCATTTTCTTACGTTCTATTCTTTTACAAATTGTAGTACCAGGATGGCAGAATATTTCCATTTACACATAATGCTCTTTTGGCCTGGGTGTCAAGGAATAAAATTTTGTAATTAACTGTATATAATGCATATTAGGTTTTGTAAAGGTAGTTATAATAATTTGTCGGTAGTAATATCTTGCCCAAATTTTGATTATTATTTATTGAAATTAACCAAGTACTTGCAAAGATCAAAATTGACTTAATTATTCCTTATTACTTACCCATTTATTAGCTGAGCTAGCTGGAAGTATAAAAGTAAAAGTAAGGTAAGTTCCAAAATAGTTCACAACGACATCGACACCGTGAAACGAAGGATACGAAGAATATACACGGTGAATCATCGTTAATTTGCAACCGTCCGTTACATAAGATACCCTCAATAAAAGCAATTTCTCCGATGACAGGTACAAGTAGGGCAATTCGAATTGAAGTAAAAATAAAAACTATAATTGCAAAGATTTATTTGCTAGTAGTTGTATTTCTTTGACATAATAAAGGCGGTTCGGACACTGCAGTACAAATGTTAGCTCGTCGTTGGGCAAAATGCGAGTAGGGCTGTTAGTAAGGTAAGTACGTTCGTGTAGTTGATGGTTATACTAATTCTTTTCAAAGAAATTTGTGCGCTCGCTTATGAGACATACGCCGAAAAATCAAAGAAAACACAGTGAGCTTCATTCCATGAATGACTTTCGATGCTTGACCGGCGAGGCAACTACGAAGGTAATGGAATCTCGGAAGTGGAGCCACTCCTCAGATTTCCAACTAAATTTGGGTTCAACTACATTAGATAGACGCAAGTTGTTTCCTTCGTTTCACATTATTGGAAGTTGAGAAGTGGATGATTGAGATAGACCAACTGATTGGACTGCTTCTACTGAGTTGAGCTCAGTATAAAGCTAGAGGTCTGCAGTGTGTCCTCTCTACTTTGTTTGATTGTTCTTCCCAGCAGTGACTGAATTAATAAGGCTAAAGGGTAAGTTTCTAACACCCCTCTATTTCGGGATGGCTTTAAGTTTATTGTTATTATATTTTATTGAAATCTTTGTTTTTCCTTTCAGAAGAGGTCTCTTCAAAATCTCTTCATGATCTCTTCAAAACTTTCTCAAAATTTACAAAATTTCTTCAAAACCTTCAAAATCTTCAAAATTTCTTCAAAATCTCTTCAAAATTCCTTCAAAATCTCATCAGAATCTCTTCCAAATCTCTTCACAATCTCTTACAAAACTCTTCAAGATCGCTTCAAAATCTCTTCAAAGTCTCTTCACAATTCCTTCAAATTCTATCAAAATCTCTTCAAAATTTCTTCAAAATCCCTTCAAAATCACTTCAAACTTTCTTCAAAAGCTCTTAGTAATCTATTCAAGGTTTCTTGAAACTTTCTTCAATTTCTCTTCAAAATCTCTTCATGATCTCTTCAAAACTTTCTCAAAATTTTCAAAATCTCTTCAAAATCACTTCAAAGTCTTTCCAGAATCTCTTCAAAACCTTTTGCAAAATCTCTTTTATGAACAGTCCGAAAACCGCTTACAACCCCTTTGGATAGCAAAAATTTGAAGAAACCTCACACAACCCCTAAGAACGCCAAGGACCTTGAAAAATATAGCGAACTACAAAAATGGCAGACATTGAAATAACACAGAGAAACCGAAGAACGTTGGAGTCGCAGAAACCACTAAAAACTATATGAGGTTCAAGAGAGGTTAAATCTCTCAGAAAACAAGCTGAGCTGAGAAGAACTGGAAGGACTAGAAGAACTCGAAGAATTCGAAGAACTGGAAGAACTAGAAGAACCCAAAGAACTCGAAGAAAAAAAATCTGGCAGACTCGAGGAACCCAAAATATAGGAAACTTAAGGAAAATGCCACAGGTAAAAAAACCCAAAGGCTAAAATATTCAAAGAACAGGAACAATTCAAAAAATTCAAATAGCTCTAGGGACCTGACTCAAGAGACCGAAATATTTCAAAAAAGAATTCGAAAAATTCAAAAAAACTCCATCTCAAAAACTAGGCCTCTACAAACTTTCTTCAACATCTCCTCAAAATGTCTCTAACACCTCTTCAATATCTCTTCAACATTTCTTCAAAATCTATTCAAAATCGCTTAGTAATCTCTTCAAAAACTTTTCATAATCTCTTCAACATTTCTTGAAACTTTCTTCAATTTCTCTTCAAAATCTCTTCATGATCTCTTCAAAATCTCTTCAAAATCGCTTCAAAGTCTCTTCAAAATCTCTTCAAAATCTCCTCAAAATCTCTTCAAAATCTCTTCAAAATCGCTTCAAAATCTCTTCAAAGTCTCTTCAAAATCTCTTCAAAATCTTCTCAAAATCTCTTCAAAATCTATTCAAAATCGCTTAGTAATCTCTTCAAAAACTTTTCATAATCTCTTCAACATTTCTTGAAACTTTCTTCAATTTCTCTTCAAAATCTCTTCAAAATCGCTTCAAAATCTCTTCAAAGTCCCTTCAAAATCTCTTCAAAATCTCCTCAAAATCTCTTCAAAATCTCTTCAAAATCTCTTCAAAATCGCTTCAAAATCTCTTCAAAGTCTCTTCAAAATCTCTTCAAAATCTCCTCAAAATCTCTTCAAAATCTCTTCATGATCTCTTCAAAACTTTCTCAAAATCTTCAAAATCTCTTCAAATTTTCTTCAAAATCTCTTCAAAATAACCTCAAAATCTCTTTAAAATCTCTTCAAAATCCTTTCAAAATCTCTTCAAAATCTCTTCAAAACCTCTGCAAAATCTCTTTTGTGAACAATCCGAAAACCCCCTACAACCTCATTGGATAGCAAATTTGAAGAAACCCTACACAACCCCTAAGAACGCCAAGGAGCCCGAAAAATCTAGCTAACTACAAAAATTGCAGACATTGAAATAACACAGAGAAACCGAAGAACGTTGGAGTCGCAGAAACCACTAAAAACTATATGAGGTTCAAGAGAGGTTAAATCTCTAAGAAATCTAGGAGCTGAGGGGTTGAGGAGCTGGGGAAGTTTGAGAAATTCAAAGATGTCCCAGATCTTGAAGTGTTCTTCAGTTCAGTTCAGTTTTTGAGTTTTTCCGGTCAACACAAAAACTCCAAGCACCGAAAAATTTGGAGTAACTTGCACTCTAGGACTCTAAAAACACAAGGAAAAATCTTCAAAACCCCAAGAACTGTGAAATCTAAAAAAAATTCGTAAAGGCCTCACCAATAACTTCAACTAACCTTAAAAACCCTTACACTGGAGTAATTGAAGTGAAGCATAAACTTCAATGTGCTCTAGTCCTAAAAGACAAGCTTTAGAATGGTTCTGATTGAGTTCTGATTAAATACGGGGTGTTCAGTTATAAATGACGTAACATTTCACTGTTGGGCTGACGTTTTTCGAAATTTTAACGTAAATTTCTTCTTTGTTACAGATTGCAGAAGGGCAGCATTATAAAGGTAGGATTTTTCTTTTCTATGCATGGTTGTATTTCTTTTCTTGTGTATCTAGCAGCGGGGGGAAAAATAAAGTGATTTTAAGCGAATTGTGGAAATCTCAAATTCGAAATGTCTTCTTTAAGGCATCGATCGGTTTACGTTATATCAGTTGTTATGACTATGATTGACAGATTGAATAATAGTACAAACAATTTGCTACCCAAACGGCTGATCAACAGTTGATTTTATTGAAATGAAGTGTGTCCTCTCTACTTTGTTTGGTGGTTCTTTCCAGCAGTGACTGAATTAATAAGGCTAAAGGGTAAGTTACTAACCCCCCCCCCCCCCTCTATTTCAGGAAGGCTTTAAGTTCATTATATTTAATTGAAATCTTTTTTTCCTTTCAGAAGAGGCCTGCAGTGGTCCTATCTATATTGGTTTATGTCTCTTCCCAGCAGAGACTGAACTAATAAGGCCCCCCTTCCTCCCATATCATTTCAAGGCGTTAATATTTGTGTCTATGGTTAAATTTTTTTAAGAAAACTGCCAGATGCAAATAGATGCTTTACTATGCTGTGCTGACGTCAATTAAGTTTTTTCGAAATGTTAACGTAAATTTCTTCTTTGTTACATATTGCAGAAGGGCAGCATTATAAAGTTGGGATTTTTCTTTTCTATGCATGGTTGTATTTTTTTTTCTTGTGTACCTAGCAGTGGGGGGAAAAATAAAGTGATCTTTAGTGAATTGTAGAAATATCAAATTCGAAATGCCTCCTTTGAGGCATCAATCGGTTTACATTATATCACTTGTTATGACTATGAATTCATAGCCATAAACTATTATGAAAGTGCCCCCCCCCCCCCCCCCCCGGTGCTACGGTCTTTGCAGTAGTCCTTAGGCCAACAGAATCTGAAATTTCTTTCTCTAAAATTAGCGTGGGAGTGTACTGGGGGTCTTGATTGTCTGGAACCCCCCCCCCCCCCGCCCACGATCATTGCCATTTTTAAAATACCACCATGAAGAGAAGAGAAAGGGTTGTATAGTCTTTCTTTGTGGGGTCATGCGTTACATTTTCCTTTCGCTGTGGGGCATTCCATACCTCCCCAGACCCTCCCGTGCTACGTTATTTGCTTGGGGCTGAGCCACTCAAACCCCACAACCACGACAATGTCCAATTGAGAGGTTATGAGTACAACTAATCTCACAAACGCCGCAATTATACGCCTTTCGGTACGAACTTTGAATTAAAAAATGATGTTTACGCTGTAATGATCTTAGCCTCCTACCATCTTGGCGGGCTAACGCCAACTTCAAGTCACACCGGAATATTTGACCATATTCTGTAGTAGCGGGAATGCCAAACTAACATGGCTGCCTATTTGAATATTCTCGCTTAAGTTTCCCGCGAGAATCTGTCACTTGGGGGCCACTCCGAGTACACTAAGATTGTGGACGTAGGACACCTACGTTGTGTAATAATTGGATTCTCAGCAGGCACTGAGAGCGTTTTATGGGTAAGGAACACCAAAAGCAATAGCTGATTAATTATATATATATATATATATATATATATATATATATTTTTTAATTATCCCTCTCTTCTTTTGGGTCTATTATATTGAAGCTAATACCAATACGGCGCCCCTGCAGGGGGTCTTAAGTGGTTCTATACTACTCCGGCATTTACCTTACGAATTA